AGAAGTAAAAAGTGAACTATGAACAAAAGTGAGAAATAAAATGAGGTGCTTTCAAAGATAATAATTTACTAGTAAGTATATATTATAATTTTTTATGAAATATATATTTTAATTTCAATTTCAATTCTGCATTTAGTGTACGTATTTATTTATATCAGTTTGCATGCTGAATATAAAATATTCGTATCGTTTTCAACGATGTCTTATTTCATATAAATTATTCATAAATCGGAAACGCTCGCATTTGAAAACGTATGCGGATTTGAATTGTATGAAAATATAGATATAGAAACATTTGATATTAAAATCCTTCTTATTTTAATTAATCCGAGAGTTTACTGTATATGGGTGAAGAAAATCTTTTATAAAATAATATTTATATTAAACGAAAAAGATTGAAACTATGTTATACATTTGATAGAAAATTAATAAGAAAGAGTCATCCAATAAACAAAACGTCAACAAATTCAAGTCGTACCATCAACAACCGGTAAGGGCTAATGCGCTCTAACCTGAGATGAGCGGTCATTTCAGGTTAAAATAAAAGTTCCCGTAAAACCGCGATTTTACCGGGACAGTCGAGCTCTTACAACAATATAGTATTTTTTAAATAAAACTTTTGAGTCCTAACAAATATTAAATATACATTAATATAACGATAAAAAAATATTTAAAAACAAAAGTGATAAAAATAGAATAAATACTAATAAAATAAATTTCATATTAAAAGGATTTCGGATTGGATATGTTATAAAGACTCAATGAGAAATTCTTTAAATCTGTGTTGGTTGAAATTTTAAAATTCATAATCTGAAATGAAAATACAATTAAGCCCGGAATCACAAAAAAAATAATTCATAAAAACATTATAATTATCATAATATAAATATGAAATATGTAATTGTTATTTACTTTATTTAATTAAATATATTGTATAGAACTGTCAACCATATACATGTTGGATTTAAAATTTTATGTTAAAGCTAAATATTATATTATATTCTAAAGTAGAAATTTATTAACTTATTTATTTTTAATATAAATAACTCTTAAGGGCTTTTAATCCGTTACTATGGTAACGTAGATGTAACACCTGCGACAGGTGTTGTAAACAAACATGAAATGACAGTGAAATAAATAGAGTTTATATTTTATATTATTATTTATTAAACTATTTAAAGTGTTTATTATCAATATTTAAAAAAAAGGAATGGCATTTGAAATGTGCTATAGCGGAAATTCTATACCGGTGAGTAATATTGCTAATTTTACATATATATATATATATATATATATATAATTACATATATAATATATCTATATATATATTATATCATATATATATTATTCTCTTATATATATAATTATATATATATATATATATCTATATATATTAAAAGTTATTATTATTATTTGGCAGAAAGTTTCTTGAACTTCTTGACTTCTTGATTTGAAATTTTATATAATGATTTCAAATTTTAGCAAATATATTTTGAAATTAAAAAAATCGAATTGAAACAAAAGAAAGAGCTGAAAAAAAAGAATAGAATAGAAATTGAATTAATGAAATCATTTCGGCTATTCTAGTACTAAAAAAGCCATATTATTAATTTACTAATTAATTTAAATCAAATAGAAATCATTTAGGCAATTTTAGTACTAAAAAGCCATGTTATAAAGTTACAAATGATTTTAAATCAAATAGAAGACATTCTATATCTCTGTTTAGAAAATAGCTGTACTAGATTACATTTGGAAAATGAAGTATATAACTGTATACAATGGTCAGGAAACGGTTACTTTACAAATTACTTTATTTTTTTGAGTATTATTATAGCAGTTAAATAAAGAAAAGATTAAGATTAATCAGAAGTCTGTGATGTTTTGGTTTAATACCTAATTTGATTATGATAATCCTTTTATAAAAGTCCATCCATACAACTGCTTAAAGGCATAATGTAACTTCCACCATAATATTATTTTAAATTTTTAATTTCAATTTCCGCCTGTCATTAAGAAATAAGATAAATATTAATCTAAGTCTGTGATGTTTTTGGTTTAATGTAGATCAAATGCGGATATTAGTATTTGATAATTTGCATATATGGATTCAGGACATTTTTTTTTACTTTTATGAAATAACTTTAAATTATCTTCTCGGACATTATGATTTGTTTACATCATTAAAAACTAGATAAAATTTACTAAATCTAGTAAAAAATTCTAGTATACAGTTGCATATTAAAATTTTGAATAATTTGTAGTTGGAAATGCGGACTTAAGTGTTTCTATAAATTGCATTATATTTATGGAGTTTGAGAATTAGGAATAAGGTGGCATTTTTTACTTTTCTTCAATAGTTTCAAATTTTCTTCTCGGACATTTATAATTTGTTTATATCAGTAAAACTAGATAAAATTTACTAAAATCTATTTAAAAACTGTATAGTAATGTTTGAGTATTAAAATCTTGAATTAATTCGTGGTTGAATGCAAACTTTTGATAAAAATCCACTTCCATCATGATTAAATTTCCAATTTCAAATTTCCCGCCTGTCATTAAGAAATGAGTTAAATATTAATGAGAAATATTAATGAGTCTGTGATTTGTTTTGGTTTAATATCATTTTTTTATCATTATGATAATTCTTTATGCCTAAAGGAAATATGCCACTTCCACCATGAAATTATTTTAAATTTCTTATTTCAAATTTCCCGCCTGTCGTTAAGAAATAAGATAAATATTAATCAGAAGTCTGTGATGATTTGGTTTAATAACACTTTTTTAACATTATGATAATGCTTTTATACAAGTCCATACATCTTGCCTAAAGCAAAATGAACTTCCACCATGATATTATTTTTAAATTTCCAATTTCAAATTTCCCGCCTGTCATTAAGAAAATAAGATAAATTAATTAGAAGTCTGTGATATTTTGGTTTAATACCTTATTTTTTAGCATTATGATAATCCTTTTATTATAAAGGCAAAATGCCACTTCCACCAAGGCATCTTCTAATTTCCACTTTCAAATTTCAAATTCAAATTTCCCGCCCGTCATTACCCTGAAGTTGGTTTCTATCCAAACATGTATACTCCTACTATAGATGTACATTGCTGGTGTCCTAACCTCAAAATTTTCGATACGTTTACTTCGCAGCAAACGGGATCACGAAAAGTTGAATATTATTTAAAATAAGTGAATAACCAGTGAATTGAGTTGATAAAACAAGAAACTGTGTGTGCATTTACGAGTAAGTATAATTTTATTTAATAATCATACTTTTAGAATAAGATTTTTGTATGTTTTTGGCAAGTCAATGAAGGTTAGGTCGAATGGTAATTGATTTATGAAGAAGTTTTCACAAATTTTGACTAAAACTTGAGGATTCAGTAATAATTGGCGAGTGGAAATGTTTATTGTTATGTATACAAGGCAAAATTAGTACTGATTTTTGTTATTTACAGGTTAATATTAAATATGACTTGTTCTAACCACTTTTTTTTAATTTGTAGAGCACTTGGACTAAAACTATTGTCTAAACAGTCTTTATTTCTTATGTTCAAGCATTACCATTAACTGTGAATACAAAAGTTGTATTCGGGTATCATTTCAAGAATAATACACGATTATAAATTGAAAAATGTATATATTGAAAGGACTAGGTTGTACGGTTTTGTAAATTTATTGACTTGTGTTGATTCTAGAGAAGTCTTTAACAATTTTATCGAATACGTTGATCAATTGATGAGTATTGTAGTTTATTAATGCTATATTAGTACTAACTTTGATATGTCCAGGTTAAGATCTTGTTATAATCATTATTTTTCTTTTATAGAGTACGTGGGCTTAATTGTCTTTGTCATATTTAAGCTTTATCCTTAACAGTGGATCCAAATAGCTCTATTCGGGTATCATTTCAAGAGTTTTTGTTAATAAAGGCTAATATCGAACATGCTCTAATCATTTTTTTTTAATTTATATAAAACATTTCCAAAGTGCCTGAGGTCAATCAAAATAAGATATTAATAAGGTCTTTTTATCTCATTTTTGTGCTTTACGAATAACTGTAAACACAAAAACTTGCATTCTGGTATCATTTCAAGAGCTCAGTTAATATTTAACAAAACCGTAGAGGCTAATGTTGTACAGAACTTGTTTTAATCATTATTTTTGATTCTGATAAAGTATTGTTTCAAAAACCAAGGTATATGTCTTTATTTTTAATATTTATTTTTTATTATGAATTACTATAAACACAAAAAATTGCTTTTATGTATCCTTGCAAGAGCTTAGTTAATATTAAGCAAACTATAAAGGAAAAAATTCAACAGAACTTATTCCAATCATTTTGTTTTTCAATTGGTGTAAAAAATGATGCCGAAAAAGTCTTTATTTCTTATATTTGTTACTTATAACTGTGATTATAAACAGTTGTATTCGTATATCGTTTCAAGACTTTGGATTATGTATTATTTAATTTCCATTAAATTCTGTAATAATAGCTATCGATATCGATTAAGTAATAATTGAGGAATAGAATTATACATCGTGTACATAAAACAAAGTTAGTACTAATTTTTGTATGTGCAGAGTTTGTTCACTTCCCGAAAGATATGTTTATGTTTTCACCAAAAAATCCGATTTGCTAATTTTGTTTTCTCGACGTTTTAAATCATTCTGAATCGTTTTAGACCAAGTTTGGAATAGGTATGTGTGTGAGCCGATTTTTCAGATTTTTTTCTTTTAAATTTGAAGGTCCTATTTCAAAAAGCTTAGTTCAAAATGTTCAAACAGTTCATATTTTTTATATTTAATAATTTTTAAAGAGCAGTGCACATAAAGAATTTTATTTGTATATTATTTAAAAAAATTATTCAATTTTGACTTCATTAGTCTTGGTTTATGTGGTCAGTTTTTGTTTAGAAAATAATATCTATGATTCTGTATTAATTGTTAATTAAATTTATAATTTTTTAAGAATAATATCATTCAAATTTTGCATTTTATTACATCTAAATTATAAGTATAATGCTATCAGAAATATAATGTTGTACTTTTTTCTTGATTTTTTTTCATTTAATTTATTTTCTTCTAATATATTTAGCAATCTGTGAATTTTGTACGTTTTTTTTACATCTTTTTGAATTACTTGGAAATTTCGCTTTGGTTACTTTGTTTTATATGTAAAAACTAGATAAAATTTACTAAAATCTAGTAAAAACTATTACATATACTTGATATTAAAATTTGAATAATTCGTAGTTGAAATGCGGACTTCAGTATTTCTACATTTTGCATTATGTATATGGAGTTGAGAATAGAGTCGCTTTTATTTTACTTTTCTCCAAATAACTTGATTTTCTTCTTGGCCATCATAATTTGTTTACATCAGTAAAAACTACATAAAATTTACTAAAATCTAATAAAAACTGATATATACACTTGCATATTGAATTTTGAAAAAATCGTAGTTGAAAGCAGACTTTAGAATTTTCATAATTTGCTAGAACATTTTTTACTTTTCTTCAAATTATTTTTATTTTTTTTTGCACATTATAGTTTTGTTTACATCAGTAAAAGCTAGATAAAATTTGCTAAAATTTAGTAAAAACTGTTATATACACTTGGATATCGAAATTTTGTATAAAATGCGTTGTGATAGATTTACATACTTCTATGTTTCAACCGAATTATATAACTTTGTTTTTATTTTTTTTTTAATTTTGCATATTATTACTAAATACATCTTTAAAATTAATAAATAATAATAATAAATTTTAAAAGAATAAAATAAATGTTAAAAATTATTAGAAGAAGAGTTGAAACTTCTCTATATAGATATATTATAAATTATCACATATATTACGAATTATTCCAAAATTTTATATTAAGGGTATATAACAGTTTTTACTAACTTTTACAAAAAAATTACCTAGTTTTTGCTGATGTCTTTAAAACAAAGAGTCCGGGGCAAAATATCCAAAATATTCAAAGAAATATAAAAAATGACCGAAATTCACATATTGCTAATTATGTTATTAATATAAAATATAAAAATTCTATGCACACACACACACACACACATACTTTTTCCTTAAATTTGGTCTCATTCGATTCAGAATGGCTTGAAACGTCGAGAAAACATAAAATTAGCGAATCGGATTTTTCGATGAAAACATAGACTTCTCCTTCGGGAAGTTGATAATAAAATACTTTTTTAAATATTTTTAATTTCAAAAGTCTTTTTTTTTTTTCAAAAATCTAATATTTTCAAAGTTTTCAAATAAAAATTAGGACTTTTTTTAAAAAAAATAATTTTTGGTACGGGAATTTCCAGCAATTTGCCTTAAGGCAAGTTGCCATACTAATTTTTTTCACAATAAAAATTTTTCTAATATGTAAATTCAATTTATTTATTTTTCCTGATAAAATATAATTTTTCAAAGACTTCGCATAAATATTTCAACTTATTTTGAGAATCTAACAGAATTTTCAAATTTTTTAAAGATTGATTTTAATACTAATTACGTATTTAAAAAACATCTGTTCACACACACGCACACATATACTTTTTCCTTAAATTTGGTCTCATTTGATTCAGAATGGCTTGAAACGTCGAGAAAATATAAAATTAGCGAATCGGAATTTTTGATGAAAACATAAATTTCTCCTTCGGGAAGTTAATAATAAACACTTTTTTAAATGTTTTTAATTTCAAAAAAGTCTTTTTTTTTTCAAAAATCTAATATTTTCATTAAAATGTTCTAATATGTAAATTCAATTTATTTACTTTTCCTGACAAAATTATTTTTCAAAGACTTCGCATAAATATTTCAACCTATTTTGAGCATCTAACATAATTTTATAATTTTTTAAAGATTTATTTTAATACTAATTACGAATTTAAAAAAAATCTGTTCACACACATACTTTTTCCTTAAATTTGGTCTCATTCGATTCAGAATGGCTTGAAACGTCGAGGAGAAAACATAAAATTAGCGAATCGGATTTTTTGATGAAAACATATACTTCTCCTTCGGAAAGTTAATAAATGTTGAAACAAGTTTTATACAAAATTTAATTTATCAAAGTGAAAATTTATCGTATTTGATTGTCATATTGAAAAAAGTAAAGTTATGTGGAGTTGGTTTCTGATAACATATAATGTTATTTCTTTTTTTCCAATTTTGGCTGATTTTCAGAAATGGGTGTGGTGAAGACTCAATCTCCGCAAAAACATCAGCAGAATAATAATAATAAGGTTGGTAATAAAAACAAAAGGAAGCGCGACAATAAACCAAAACAGGAGAATAAAAATCAGCAAAATGGAGGACAATTTAATAAAAAGGCGAATGGTGATGGTTTACCGAAGCCGAAAGTTTCGGATTTGGATAAACTAGTCAATGCTAAACCTGCTAAGAAGGATAAGAAAAATAAAGGGCTAGAAAGTAGTCAGAATAAACCAGAAACTAAGCCGGAGTTTAATAAAAATAAACAGGAATCAGATAAGAAGGATAAGAAAAATAAAGGGCTGGAAAGCAATCAGAATAAACCAGAAACCAAGACGGAGTTCAATAAAAATAAGTCAGAATCAAATTCAAATAAACATGACTCTAACAACAAGCAAGAAGTCAATAAAAGTAGTCCTGCCCAACAGCAAGGCAAAAAGAAAAAGACCAGATCACGCAATAAGAAGAACAAAGAACAAAAACCACAGACTACTGTTACATCTGATACATCCCTAAACGATTCAACAAAATCTGTCGACGACCCCATCAAGAACAAACGCCAGAAAAAACGCGAGAAGACAAAGAAAAAACTCCAAGTCTTCAAAGAAAAAGTCGCACAAGCCAAAGAAGGCATCATCAAACCCGACGAACTAAACCTGGAGTCCATCCAAAAAAAAATAGCAGACATCGGAGAACCCAACACAAATTCAGGAAAGAGACGTCTGCGCAAGTTGAAAAAACTGGAAAAATTGGCTTTAGGCAAAACCGATGAAGTCGCCAAAAAAGATGCCAAGCAAACCACTAAAACTGTATCCAAATCCGTTAAACGCAAGGAACGACGTGATGGTAAAATCGCGAAGGAAATCGCTGACCAGAAATTACAGAATGAAATTTGGGAAGAGGATACCAAAAAATGTGAGCAGAGGCTTCAGCAGACTAAACCTAAGCCAAAGGCAAAGGAACCTGTAAAGGACAAGGGTAAAGGTAGTAAAAGACCTATAGAAGACGTTGATGATGATGATGATGATGCTGAATCTGATTACGAAGTTGAACGTATGATAAAGGCTGATAAGGTTACCAAAAAACTTAAGGCTGACGTACCTATGGATTCTGAAGACGAGGATGAGGAAAGTGATGAGATGGAAGTCGAGGAAGATGATGACGATGATGATGATGCTGAAGCTGAAGCTGAAGATTCATTAGTTGATAAGGAAGCCGAAGAATCTGATGATGACGATGATGATGATGACGATGATGATGAAGCTGAAGCTGAAGCTGAAGTTTCATTAGTTGATAATGAAGCCGAAGAATCTGATGATGACGATGAAGAAGCAACAGAAGTCGATGATGAATCTGAAGAAGTTGATGATAAATCTGACGAGGACGAGGAAGACGAGGCTGACACCCATGACGAAACTCTTGATGATTCCCAAATGACTATTGAAGACTCCGATGACGATGACGAAGACGTTAAACCAGTTCCTGCAGATACAAAGAAACAATCAAAACAAGTCGATAATAAAACACAAAAGAAATTCCTAAATATTTTAAACAAAAATGAAGATAAAAAAGATGGCACAAATAAAAATAAGAACTCTAAAGAGCAACCTCAGAAAAAGGAACTCGATCCGGAGAAATTGAAACAACTAGTTGGAAAGAATGCTCGATATGTTGTTTTTGTAGGTAATTTACCGTATACTATCGATAAGGATACTTTGAAAACACATTTTGATAAAGCAGGACAGGTAAGCCAATATATATATAGTAGGGTGGTCCTTGATATGGACATTTTCGAATTTTATTGCTGCCAGGAGCTCAAATGCTTCGAAATTGATAAATAAAAACCCTCTAAAAGTTTTAGCTCTTAATATTAACTTTTAGATAGTCCGCAATTTAAACAAAATTTTAAAAATGTTTTTTTAGGTATAACTTACCGACAAATAAAATAAGGGACACAACTAGTGTAACTGCCTAAAAAAAAGGGTGATTTTTGGGAATTTATATCAAAAAAACTACTTTATCAATCATTTCAAAACTTTAGGAATATATTTATACATATTTTAAGAATACATAGTAAAATTTTTGAAGAAAAAAATTAATATTTTTTATGTTATCGTCGAACTCCAAAGGCGCGACAAAAAAAGGCCCTTCACTGCTGCAGTGATTCCGGCCTTCTACGTGGATGAAATTTAAAAAAAAAATCTCGTTAAACTAGATAATATTGTCTGTAAAATGAACTACGATAAAGAAAAAAAAATTGACAAAATGACGGCGTTTCTTAAAAAAAAGTGGAATTTTACCCAAAATTTTGGTCGTTTTTGGACTGCCAAAATTCGATTTTGGATCCGATAAAAAAATCGATAGTTCATTTTACGGAGAACTATATACAGAACATGTAAAAAAAATTCGATAGTGATCGGATCAATTGTTTTTGGGTAATAATGGAAAAATTAAAAATTCGATTTTTTGAAAATTTCACACTAGTTGTGTCCCTTAAAAGTAACAATTTGTGTCATCTTTTATTGAAAATTCGACGCTCTGCAAAACAGATTTTTTATGATTTGTTTTGTAGAGCGTCGAATTTTGAATAAAAGTCGTTCATTTATATCTAAAAAATATTTTTAAAATTTTTGAAATTTTTTCCATGCTTTGATTGAATTGCGCACTATCTAAAAGACAATATTCAAAGCTAAAACTTTCAGAGAATTGTTTTTTATCAATTTCGAAGCCCCTGGGACCAAGAAAATTCGAAAATGACCATATTAAGGACCACCCTAATATATATTTATCTTTGTAATTATTATTTTGAATACTGATGTTTAATTTTTTTTTAGATTAGAGATGTCCGGATAGTTAAAGAAAAGGGTTCTAATAGGCCGAAAGGATTTGCATATGTCGAGCTTACAGATCCAGAAAGTTATCAGGTAATTAAAAATTATACGAATTTTTACTATAATTCGAATTTAGTTATAATTCGAAATTAACAATATTTTTAACACAATTTTACCTTGATTTAGTAATTTTTATTTTACTAATTTAAATAATTTATCAATAATCCGGAATGAAAGTTAAGTTATTAGAAGAAAAGTTAAAACTGTGGGGGCGTCCAATAATCATCTCGTGATCCATTTCTTTTAGGGGTTTTTGGATTCCCCTTTGGCGATATTTTTACTATAATTCGAATTTAGTTATAATTCGAAATTAACAATATTTTTAACACAATTTTACCTTGATTTAGTAAATTTTATTTTTATTTTACTAATTTAAATAATTTATCAATAATCCGGAATGAAAGTTAAGTTATTAGAAGAAAAGTTAAAACTGTGGGGGCGTCCAATAATCATCTCGTGATCCATTTCTTTTAGGGGTTTTTGGATTCCCCTTTGGCGATATTTAAAATTACCCCTCCTCCCCTACCAAATATTACGTGTATTTTTAGTTACGTAAAATTTTCCGAACGAATTTTTCGAGTTTACGAAAAATAGTATTTTTTAACTTCCCGTAGGGTAATTTATTGTAATGGGCCGAAAATCGAAATTGAAAATTTTTACATTTCTCGACGTTTTGAAGGTTTCTGAACATTTTAAGGGGCATACCTCAGAAAAAATGGATATGTGTGTGTGTGTGTGTATGTGTGTGTGTGTGTATGGATACAAATTTCCAGTCACGTTTTCGGGTGCACGGATCAACCGATTTGAATGGTTTAAAAAAACATTCGATCCCTATTGATAGGGAGATGTGCTGATTAGTTTTTGGCAAAGGCAGGTCCAGCCGTTACGGAGATATGGCGAAAAAAGTGCAGAAAATAGAAATCGAGTTTTTGAGAGAACGGATCATCCGATTTGTATGATCCAAAAAACATTCAATTTGTAATGATTAGGAGAAGATTAGTTTTGGCAGAGGTAGGCCCAGCGGTTTCGGAGATATAGAGCTAAATGTTTAAAAAAAATGCAGTTTTTGAGAGAACTAAGCGCCCGATTTAAATGATTCAAAGAACTTTCTGTTTGTTTCAACAAAATAATTGCTTTTGGAAAAAAAATAATTTTTTTCTAACTTTTTTTTCAAAAAATATTTTTGTAATTCTGGATTAAAAATTCAAAAAATGACTCAGGCTAAGCACAGTCTCAGCGCCTCTCCGGTACAAATGTTTACCCAAGTGCGTTTAGACTGTTCAGCACTGGAGCACTTTACCAATTTTGTGTAAATTAGGCAACTAAACTTTTTTTTGAAATTGAATTCGAAATGAAATGACGATTGTTAATATTCTGGCGATAAATTGATTTATGATTTACATTTGATTTGCTCAGATAATATTACAAGATAGCAATGAAATATTTGAAATAATATATTTATATTAATAATATATTTGTAATAATATATTTGAAAACGTTTAAAATTTCTTGAATATTTTATTACGGTACGGGAAGTTCCAGCAATTTGCCTTAAGGCACGATGCCATACACCACTAGTTTTTAATAAATTTGGCTAATTTTGCTCGAAAGCTTGGAATAAAAAATTACTATCAATATAAAATCAACATAATAATTAAAATACATTTTGGACATCTGTTTCCAAGATAATATATTCGAAAACAAACGAAAAATTTGGAAATTATTTGAAGAAAAAGGACGTAGAATTATTTTCCATGTATATTTTTACATAACATTGCATAATCATTCATAGCGTTATAATTAAATTATATTAATTCAATATTCATTAAATTAAATTAAATCGAATTTAAAATTGGCGCCACAATCCTTTTTACGAAAAGGTTGTACTGCACTGGTTATATTGAAAGCTTTTCTGGGAACTCCCTATTTACTTTAGTGTTTCATATCTGTTCAGCTCGAATGACGCTCAGTCTCTTTTTCATACAAAACTGTGCACGTTTGGTGACTGAAAATAAAATAATTCATTTAAAATAATAATTTATTAATTATTAATTTTATAAAATGCATTATAAAATTATAAAAAACATTGTGGCCATTTTTAAACCGTATTAAGTATTCATGGGTAAAAGTAAAGGAAAGAAATCTTGTAAATGTAATTGATCATATTTAATCGTATGCAGGTTTAATAAACAATTATAATCGCCATACAAATGGCAGTAATTAATTATTAATTTAAAAAAAATACCTTACAAATTTACAAAAATATCAGTGTCTATTAAGTGTATAATGATGTGCACATTTGGTGACTCAAAATTATAATTATAATATCCAAAAATTGCTAATTGTTAATGTTAATTGTTAACAATTGTTGATTTAAAAAATAGTAGTGTTTATTAAATAGTAACAAATTGTTTGGGTAAAATAATTAAAAAATAAAGGAAAGGAATCTGTGAATCTGATAAAAAAATTGTTTAATAAAATATCAGGAAAATAATAATTTATTGAATAATTAATAATTTTAAATGAAATCCATTAATATTTACAAAAATATCAGGGTCTTTTTTTGTTTTTTTTGGTGACTAAAACTTCTAATTACAATACAATATTCAAAAAAAAATGCTAATTGTTAATTTAACAATTGTTGATTCTAAAAAAATAGTGATTATTAAATAGTATCAAATAGTCTTCGGATAAAATAAATAAATAAAAATAAAGAAAAAAATTTCGTGAATCTTATCATTAAAATTGTTTAATAAGCAATTATAAATTGCCAGGAAATTATTAATTTATTATTTAATTATTTTTGTGAAAAATCCATTTTAACTTTACCAAAAAAATAGTGGTTATTATTAAATAGTAATAAATAGACATGGACAATTTGTAAATCTTACTGTGAAAATTGTTTAATAAACACTTATAAATTGCCAGTGCCAATATTAAAATTAATACTTTATTTATTAAATAAAATTTTTGTAAAAAAAATCCATTTTAATTTTAATTTAATTTAATACTTACATTTTAGTAAAAAATACTAATTTCTGGTAATCCAGTTTCAATCATTTATTCGGAATAAAACTGACTTTAAAATTATAAATTTAATAATAATTAAATATATTTTTTAAAATAACTTGGTTACACTATTATGAAGTCTTAAATTGCATCGATTTTAATTTACAAAAAAATTGTGGTTATTATTAAATAGTAATAGACCTGGAAAGAATTTTTGTAAATCTTACCATTAAAATTGTTTAATAAGCACTTATAAATTGCCAGGAAAATTATTAATTAAATAATTAATAATTTTTGTGAAAAATCCATTTTAACTTTACTAAATATATAGTGGTGATTATTAAATAGTAGACATGGGTAAACATAAACACAAAAAATCACATAAATCTGATAGAAAAAAATCAGATAAGTCTGGTAGAAAAAAATCACATAAATCTAAAGACAAGAAATCTCGTAGATCTGAAGCAAAGAAATCTCATAAAACTAAATATGAATCTGATGATATAAGTAGCTCCACAGAAAGTTCTGTATCAAATAAAGTTACCAGTAATAGTACTCGAGATCAAAGGATAAATGTGATGCATGAATCTAATGTTAAGAAATTTCAACTGAAAAATGCTGAACAAAATATTGAACAGGTCTCTCCAACAAGATCTTGGGATGATATTACGATGTCTGAAGAACCTCCAATTTTTGAATCGTCATCAAGTAATGAAAATCGGACATCAACAGCCAAAAATTGCAAACCAAAACTGGACCACCAAGATAAGAAATCTCGTAAAGCTGAAGCAAAGAAATCTCATAAAAGTAAATATGAATCTGATAATAGAAGTAGCTCCTCAGAAAGTTCTGTATCAAATAAAGTTACCAGTAATAGTACTCGAGATCAAAGGATAAATGTGATGCATGAATCTAATGTTAAGAAATTTCAACTGAAAAATGCTGAACAAAATATTGAACAGGTCTCTCCGACAAGATCTTGGGATGATATTACGATGTCGGAAGAACAACCTTCAATGTTGGAATTTGGAACACCGTCATCTGTCCATAACCCTGATTTCAAATATTCTGAAATCCCCAAAGACCTCTTCGAAGTCCCCGAAGACTACTCTCTATGCCATTGTGTAGCCGAAGACTTCATCATGGGTGCAGGCATTGCTTTACAATTCCGTTACAGATTTGGAAGAGTTGCAGATTTATTACTACAAAGACCCCGAACAGGTGGCTTTGCATACCTTAAAGTTAACCAAAGGTTTATTTACTATTTAGTAACAAAACAAAGAAGTTCTGGTAAGCCTTGCATAGAAGCTTTAGAATCGTCTTTGAAGAACATGAGGAAACATATGCTGAAAAATAATGTGACTAAATTGGCTATGCCAAAAATTGGTTGCGGTTTGGACAGACTAAGATGGGATGATGTTTCTCGATTGATAAAGAGAATATTTAGAAATGATGGGATTGAGATTCTTGTGTGTTTTGTCGATGGACCAAATTATACTGGTTATGCATCATCTAGGAGACTAGCAAATGGTAATTAAATTAAGTGATTATCTTTTAACTCGAATTATTGATCTGGGAGATAATTATTTTATTTAAACTAGAAATGATTGAGTTGTAGGATGGTATGTTAAATCAAAACAGTCAGATTCATTTTTAACTTCTCGTAGGGTAGTTATAGTAGTGGGCCGAAAATCGAAAATGAAAATTTTTGCATTTCTCGACGTTTTGAAGGTTTCTGAACATTTTACTGGCATACCTCAGAAACTAAATGGATGTGTGTGTGTGTGTTTTGTATGTCCACGTTTTCGGGCGCACGGATCAACCGATTTGAATGGTTTAAAAAACATTCGATTCCTATTAATAGGGAGATGTGCTGATTAGTTTTTGGCAAAGGCAGGTCCAGCCGTTACGGAGATATGGAGCTAAGAGTGCAGAAAATAGAAATCGAGTTTTTGAGAGAACTGTGTATCGGATTTGAATGATCTACAAAACATTTAGTTCGTAATGATGGGGAAAAGTGGTTATTACTATTTGGCAAAGGTAGGGCCAGCGGTTTCGGAGATACCGAGCAAAATGTTGAAAAAATTGCAGTTTTTGAGAGAACTAAGCGTCCGATTTGAATGATTCAAAAAACTTTCTGCTTGTTTCAACAAAATAATTGCTTTTGGGAAATAAAATTTTTGTTTGTAATTTTTTTTTTTTCAAAAAATTTCAAAAATTAGAAAAATGACCCAAGCTAAGCACAGTCTAAGCGCCACTCTTGTACAAATGTTTACCCAAGTGCGTTTAGACTGTTTATGTATTGGAACACTTTTCGAATTTTGTGAAAACTATTGAAAAATGTAATGCCAAGCTAAGCTTAGTATAAGCGAAAATGCCGCACAGAATTATTTGCAAATGCGTTTAGACTATACAGGAGCACTTTTTCAATTTTGTGCAAATCAGGCAACTATTTTTTTTTTAAATTGAATTCGAAATGAAATGACGATTGTTAATGTTCTGGAGATAAATTGATTTATGATTTATGATTTATGATTTACATTTGATTTGCTCAGATATAACAAGATAGAAAAAATAATGAAAGTTACAGTATTTGTAATAATATATTTGAAAACGTTTAAAATTTCTCTAATTTCATTACGGTACGGGAAGTTCCAAAAATTTGCCTTAAGGCACGATGCCATACACCTCTAGTTATTTGCCATTTTGTTAGATTTCTGCACAAGTGTGTAAGAAATAAGATAAATGTATTTGTGATATAGATCGATTCTATTGAAGTTTAAGATCATGTACTTTTTAACAGATAAAATATACAATCGTTTAAATTTTATTTTAAAAGTGATGAATTACGTTTATTAAAATACATTATAAGGTGCAAATGTTAACATTTTATATTAATACTAATTATTAATTTTTAATTAGCCGGTAGTTTTTGAATAATTCAATTGATTTAGTTTTCCCTCAGTAGTAAGTTTGTTAATTAGTAATATGTGATTCTTGGCATTTTTTTACATTATTGCAAACGACTGAAAATTTTCATTCCGGACATTTTAATTTGTATACATCAATAAAAAACAAGATAAAATTTACTAAATTCTAGTAAAAACTGTTGTAAACTACATGATGAATTTTTGAATAAACCTTGTTGAAACTTCTATTTTCTGGTAATATATTTAGCAATATATGAATTTTAGACGTTTTTTTATATTTTTTTGAATATCTTGGATATTTTGTTTTGAATACTTTGTTTTATATACCCCAATAGAAACCAGATAATTTTTACTAAAATTTGATAAAAATTGTTATATACACTTGGATATTAAAGTTTTGTATAAAATTAGTTATTGTAGCATTAATGAGGCACTTTTATGTTTCAACTGTATTACATAACTTTCTTGTTAATTTTATGTTGCATATCTTTCCAAAAACAAAATTTATAAATTAAATCCATTTACTTTACATTTCAACCAAATATCTATGAGTTAAATTTAGAAGAGTTTATGTTCGAGGGGATGATCTCAAAGAAAAATATGAAATAGTCCTGTAAATGATCAAAATTAATTTAATAATTTTATAAAGTTCATGAATTACTAATGAATTATTAGTTTTAAATAAGTATAAATATTTATCTTTTATATATATAAAAATAAATCGGGTTTTGCTTCCTGACGAAATAACTCCAGAACGCACGAACCGATTTCGACAATTTTGCATTCGTTGGAAAGGTCTCGGGTTCCCCATTCTTAATTTATAGTTAAGAAAATTAGTGGTGCATCGTGCCTTAATGCAAATAGCTGGAACTTCATGCACCGTAATTAAAAATTCGAGTAATGACATTAGTGAGAATCATCAGAATTATGCTTGGTTAAGTCAACGAGCAATTCCCGCCGCAAAGAATAATGATGTACACGCACTGAATTTCACCATTCAATCAAAAATTGCTGGCGATTTGGTGACATACCAATGATTCCGACTGGTCTTCCGTTTCACTTCAAACGATTGCAATTTCTAGTTCGCCTTGCGTTCGCAATAACAAGTCGCAAGGCCAATCGCTTAGTGTTTGCGGGATAAATTTCAAATATATTATTTAAAAAATCATTGTTTTTTACATGGGCAGTTATACGTTGCCTGTTCACGAGTTGGAAAACCATCCGCTTTGTTTGTGTTAATGTCAGACCAAAAAACAAAAAATGTGGTTTACCAAAGAGCACTTCAATGAAACGAATAATTTGCTGATTCACTTTCATTTACTTAGAGAAGTTCAACTAAAAAACACTTCATTTTCGTAATCGAAAAAAAGTCATTACTGTTGTATAATAAAATCAAATGTTTCCTTTTCAAATATAAAACCAAACAAAAAATTTCTTCATCTTTTTCACGAAACCATCTGGTGGCGAAACGGAGTTCGTCGGGTTTGCTAGTAATTTTATAAAGTTCATGAATTACTAATGAATTATTAGTTTTAGTTATTGAATACAAATATTTAAATAAGTATAAATATTTATATAAGTATAAATATTCATATAAGTATATAAATAATATTTTTAATTAATATAATTTTCTTTATTTTTTAGAGAGCTTTATCACTCCATCATTCAATGGTAGGTGGTCGTCGAATCAACGTCCTCTACACCCAACCAGGTCACAAAAAGAGTGCAGAGGCCAAAAAAATTGTCAAACAAAAAAATTTCAAACTGGGCGCTATGAGGAAACAAGGAATGCTTGCAGGAAGCGTAAAACAAACACAGAGCAGGAACGCTCGAAGGAACAAAGCCAAAGGAAAAGATGGTGCTAAGAAGCACCGGGATGAATAAATTTAGTATTATTATTAAATGAAATTTTTTATGCTATTGTTATATTATTATTGTCGACTGTTGGGTTGTATTGACTGAAGTGATGTCTAAGTCTGCAAGAGAGGAAGTTGTATGTTCAGATTTATATCGATGTATTGAAATTTGATTTTTATGCATTTGTTTTGACATTGTAATCATATAAGTGTAGAAATAAATGCAGGAGTAACATATCAAGAGTTTTCTATTTGTTTGCAAATTACATAAATGTTAAGGTAATGAAGTTTTTTCTAAATTAATTATTTTTTAACTTCCCGTAGGGCAAGTTATAGTAATCGCAAAAAATCGAATTTAACAAAAGTATATCCAATTTAATTAATTCATTATCACTATCGAGTATATTGAGTACTTTTCACCAAAAACAAACTTATGAGTAAGAAAGACCAAAAACTCATAAAAGATCATACTACATTATAATAATAAATTGTATTTTCTGTATCCGATGTGTTAAATTAGCATAATCTCCAATATTTAAAAAAAATAATTTTTTTACAAATATATAATTTAAGATCGGATACTTTGTCGACATAAATAATAAGTTACTATAATTGTTGAGTATTGTTATTTAAAACAATGTGATGCTTCTATAGTATTTTCAAACTTTGTAACGATTTCGAAAAAATAATATTTTATAATTGTAATAAAAAGCAAAAATATTTGTAATTATCATAATTATTATGTATAAAGTTAGAAAAATAAAGATTACGCAGGGGTAATCTGTATGATATAAAATATTTTGGCGCAAATGTCACTTAAAAAACCGTTACACTTTTACAAAACATGAAACATACATCATTATCTATCAGTCCAATTCTATTTATTGTAACACGATATGAAGCCATTTGGAAAGCAATAAGTATTCAGTTTAATGACGAGTTGAGATAATATTTGACATTTGTTTATCTTATAGAATCACTTGATATAGCTGTTTATGCGATTACGGAATTCAAAGATAAATTTGTTCAGGGAAATTTAAACTTTAGGGTATTATGTATCAAATAGCGCTTATGTAAAACAACCGAAAATGCCGGTATTTTCAGGGTAAATTCCGGTATTAATACGGCTGAAAAATCGGGCGGCATACCGGTAATTCGGTTACTGGTATTGCATTCCCTAGTTCAGACTATTTATATGTATGAATATTACATAATTATCCATTATCCTTTTTCTAGGAAGAGAAAAAGATCCAAGAACGCAAACGCAACGTCCTCTACCTAATTTCCCACTATCTGCGAGACAACGGCTTCCGTCTAACATCCGAGACGCTATTTCAAGAAGGACAACTGTCCGAGACCTTCCAAGTGTGCGACAATATAGATTTGGAGACGATTCTGCAGGAATACGAGAACTACTACTATCTGAAATTCCAGAAACAACCTAAGATCATCAAGAAGGTGAAGAATGATACTAGCATCGCCAGTTTTGATAACAAAATTAGGAAGGTGAAGAGCATTAGTAGCAGCGAAAGCAAAAAGAGTGCTCCTGATGTTGCTACACCGAAAGACTCGAATGAGAAGAAGATGCCGTCGAATATGTCGATAAAGGCAGTAGGAAAGGTAATGGAAATCTCCTTAACTTCCGTAGGGTAGTTATAGCAATGGGCCGAAAATCGAAAATGAAAATTTTT